AGAAATTATTTTATTTCATGTTTACAATGACCTGTGAGGCAGTACTGTTATTATCCCCACTTTCCAGAGTTGGACACTGAGGCTCAGGAGGTCTGATGGTCCATGATCACACAGAGCTAGCAAGAATGGATCTGGGATTTAACCCATTCGGTCTGTTCCAGAGAGCCCACGTCTCCCTGACACCCTGAACAGCCTCCCTGAGCTCTGATGTGAATGAAATTCACCGCCAAAGAGAGGCATTCCCTGATGCCCTCCTCTTCCCACCCCATCCCCACTACACCCCCACAACAGACAGATCGGTGCCTCTGCTCCATGTTCCTTTAACTGGCTCAGATTTCAAGCTTCGTTATTTCCAGTGTGGTGCTTTGATCACCAGAAAGCTTCATGTCTCTCTTCTTCATACTCAAAAGCTAACTTTCCCTCCAGAAGGCATGGTTTGGGGGTGAAGAGAAAAGGTGAGATGCTGTACTAGATTTCCATGGCAACAGTTTCTCTCATTACTGTCTCCACTTGTGGCTTGAGGAGGGTGTTAAGATGGGGGTGAGCTCTCTTCTCTCTTCTCCTTCCTCCCTCCCCTTCAGGCTGGGCGGCCAGGGGAATGGAAGCCGTGCCCTACCCAGCCTGCTGGATTGACTCCACCACTCCAAGCTTAGACGCTGGGACCTTGTAATGGGGGGCCTCCAGGTAGAACAGCAACCTGGGCCAGACCTCCCAACAGCAACCTTCCTCCCAAATCCCAAAGGCTGTGAACCTCATGTTCATTTTTATAAAAATATATTTTATTGATTTTTTTTACAGAGAGGAAGAGAGAGGGATAGAGAGTCAGAAACATTAATGAGAGAGAACCATCAATCAGCTGCTTCCTGCACCCCCTACCCACCACTGGGGATGTGCCCGCAACCAACGTTCATGCCCTGACCAGAATCAAACTTGGGACCTTTCAGTCCACAGACAGATGCTCTATCCACTGAGCCAAACTGGTTTCAGCAAGGACCTCATGTTTATATCTCCAGGTCTATCCAAGGCCTGACAAGAGCAGCTACACAGTGAATTCTTGTTAAGGAATAAATGAGCAAAGGAAAGAGCAAACCCGTGAGCCATCCCCCACGCTAGCCCCGAGTCTTCATTTCCATTTTCCTACCATGCCACGCTCAGTCTCCCCTCTGGGCTCTGCCAGGCCGCTGCCCTCTGCCCACACTTCCCCACTGCACTGTGCTGCTTCCGGCACCTGCTCACGGCTCCACCTGGAGGTCACTTCCTTGCAAAAGGCTCCTCTGACTTCTCCCGTGGTTCCCTTTACCCCAGATCTTGGTTAGGGGGGCATGTGGTAGCCTTTGCCTGCCCACTTGCATGTCTCCTTAGCGAGCCTCACAGCCTCATGTGGATGGGACCCAGTCTTCCAAGTCCCCAGAGCCTGGCATGATGCCTGGCTTGGTTAGATACTCAACTCTTCTTTGTGGAAGGAAAGGGGAAAGGGGAGGAGGAGGAGAGGGAAGGATGCTTTCGGAATGGGAGAGGATGAGGGGGTGGGAGTTGAGTGGAAAAGAGCAGCATCCAGAATGCAATCCTCCTTCTCTGAGCCAGATGGGGGCCCAGAGCTCTTCAGCCCAGGACCCCTTCCCCCTCCACCTGCATAGTATTAAGCAAATAATAACAACGCTTGGTGTAGTAGTTCACCAAGTGCTCTCACATCCTGGGCCTGGGCCTAGTCCCCAGACAGACCCGAGTCAGGCACATAAGCCACCGGCCTCGTTTTAAAAGTGAAGATTCAACAAATGGAGCTGGGACCATTGGATAGCCACATGGCAAAGGGTGAACTTGGACTCTGATCTCATATCATATGTAAAAATTAACTCAGAATGAGTCATAGACATCAATGTAAGAGCTAACATTATAGGGTTTTTAAAAACTTATCTTTATTCTTGAAAGTATTACAGACATTCCTCATTCTCCCCCCCCCCCCCATTCACCCCCTCCTGCCCCCCTAAAATTATAATATTTTAAGGAGCAAAACCTTTAAGACCTTGAGTCAGGCAAAGATTGCTTAGATATGTTATCAAATGTATGGTCCACAAAAGAAAATTGGATGAATTGGGCTGTGGCAAAATTCAAAATCTTGATGCTTCCAAAGACACTGTGATGAAAATGAGCAGACTGGGAGAGTTGATTTGTAAAACATGCGTGTGATAAAGGATGAGCTTCCGGAGCATAGAGATGAGGAAAGGGGCCCTGAGGGATGTCGCTGCCAGAGAAGAGGCCTGGGTAACTAAGTCTCCTGCTCTCCCCACCGTATTTGTTCCTTTGCAGCAGCCAGGTAGCTGAGTGGAGACTCCAGGCCTGAGTTGGACCCTTACTGGAGAACTGACCCAGGTAATAATTCTCACCAAGGCCTTCAGACCTGCCAGATTCACTTCCCTCCTCATTTCCCCAGCTGCTTTCTCAGCGCGGGCTCCCCCCAGTGGCCACCAGCAGAACTGTAGCTTCTGCTGCAGGTCACCAGCACCATAATCTGGATGGATGCCTACCGCATCCACCAAGAGACCCCAGAAATGCCATCCCTGCGACTCCGACCCTCTGGCAGAAGGCGGCTAAAATGTACCATGTTCCATGTAAACTACTATAACTTAACATTTTACTAACCGTGTTCGTGTAAACGAGTTAACCAGTGACCTGGTTATAATAAAACAGTGGGCAGCCTAGGCAAGAAGGGGAGCAGAAAGTAGGGAAACTTAAGATAGGCAAGAGGCTCCCTGCTTCTATTAGAGGCTGCTTTGGAGGAGAGGAGGGTGACTTTTGTGCTCTTTTTCCTTTTTCTCACTGTGCCCTTACTTCCTTATTTTTGTGAGTTAGGACAGTAAGCCCAGACTCCCAGGATACTGCCCATCTCCTGCATGCCAGGCCCTTCATCTTTATTCCCTCTTCATCACTACCTCCTAACTCCCCCTGGCTCCTGAGACCATCCCACCATGTCCCCTGGAGCTCTGTGTCCGCTTTTTCATTTTACAAACTCTTACGTGGAACCCCCTGTGTTCCATTGGAAGACTCCCCACCCAACCCATCAGAACACCTTGTTAGCTTCACCTTCAGAATAACTCCAACACCTGACCACATCTCACTGCCTCTCCTGCTTCCATCCTGGTCCAAGCTGCCATTACCTTCTGCCTGGATTACTACAGTTCCCTCAAATGGACCTCTCTGCTTCTGCTTCTCTGCTTGCCCCCACCCCTTTTATTCCCAAGACAAGGATCAAAGAGAACCTGTTGCCCTAGCCAGCGGTCAGCAGACTGTGGCTCGTGAGCCTCATGCGGCTCGTAAGCAGAGGTTTGCTGCTCTGTTGACTAATGAGTTTGCTGACGACTGCCATAGCTGGTTTGCCTCAGTGGGCAGAGCATGGGCCAGTGGACTGGAGGGTCCTGGGTTCAATTCTGGTCTCAAGGGCTCGTACCTCAGTTGCAGGCTCAATCCCAGGCCCTGGTTGGTCAGGGTATATGCAGGAGGCAGCCAATCGATGCTTCTCTGTCTCTCCCTCCCTTCCACTCCCTCTTTAAAAAATCAATAGAAAATATAACCTCAGGTGAGAGAAAAAAGTGAATCTGTTAATACAAAACTCATTTCATGTCACTCCTCGGCTCACCCCCACCCCCTGTCCCATCTCTGCCCTTCGTTCTCCCCTGTCCAGCCACCTGGGCTATTTGCTGTTCCCCATCACCCGGCAGCATTGGCTCTGCCTGCAGTGCCCTGTCTCCCGTAGCTGCATGGTTTGCTCGCTCTCTTCGAGTCTTTATTTAAAAGTCATCCTCTCCGTGTGGCCTTCCCCAATTACACGCTTTCCAATTCTGACCTCACCCTCACCCCTGCACTGCTGCTTCCCACCAGAATCCCATGAAGGAGAGATTTTATTTGTTTTGTTCACTGATAATCACCAGCATTAGTCTGGCACAAGGCAGTTGTCCACTAAATATTTGTTGAATGAATGAATGAGCCTACTTTTCTTGAGTGAAAACAAAGAGTGAGATGAGGTCTGGAGCCCAAACAAATGATCTGTTAAAATCAGGACAACTTTGCAAGTAAACCCAAGCAGCTCTCAGTGGCCTCCAGTTTTTTACCCATGCTTTCCGCTCCTATACATGCCTGAAGAGCACGAATCCAGTGACCATGACCCCTGTAACTGAGTCTTCCCAAAATGCTCAGGCTCATTGGATAGGCAGATGCTGATCTCCCGGGTTCAAGGGCAACGTTAGACAGTGACATTTACTGAGCCCATTCTTACCTAATTTAGTTTTTAGAGTTATTGCCTCTTCTGGGAACTGGATCTGAGACTTGTAGGATGGTAGAGGTGAGCACCAGGGAGCCCTGTCTGCGTGGGGGTCCCGTGAATGCAGTGGCTCCATCCTCTGAACCTCCTATTTCTGCTCAGATCCTATCTACCTTTATGAGGTTTGATCATTTGTATCCAAGAAAAGCTTTGCAAACGTAGAATTAAGAAGACCATTGTGATGTGCATTTTACAATTATTTTTTTAAAAATATATTTTATTGATTTTACCCTGAGAGGAATTGAGAGTTAGAAGCGTCGATGAGAGAGAAGCATTGACCAGCTGCCTCTTGCACTCCCCCCCCCCCCCCACTGAGGATGTGCCCGCAACCAAGGTACATGCCCTTGACCGGAATCGAACCCCAGACCTTTCAGTCTGCAGGCCGACGCTCTACCACTGAGCCAAACCAGTCCCGGCATTTTACAATTATTTTTGTAAAGGGATCAAGTGGTGCACAATGTGCACGCTCCCTGGTGAGCTGGGATACTCTGCCATCGTGGCCCCAGGTTCGAGGAGGTTGCTCTCTTACAGGGTGGGACTGCGTGTCATTTCAGGGCAACCCCTCTGCTTCCATCAGTTCTGAGCTGGCACCGGGTACTCGGTGCACCTCCCCCAACACCTCGGCAGGCTCCCGCGTCTTGCCGAGAGATCCTGTGTCTGACCTGGGCACCCCTCTGTTCCCAGGATGGCTGCCTCGCCGGGCCACCTGAATGTGATGGAAAAGGCGAAGAACATATCGGAGAGCGACTGCTTCCGCACCCGGAGCACCGTCCTGCAGGGGCAGCCCTTTGGTGGCATCCCCACCGTGCTGTTCATCAACATCATCTTGTGGCTGGTGAGTCCCGGGCCGGACTGTGGGCAGACAGGAGGTCTCAGCTGGGGGCGGACAGTCCCCAAGTGATGCCACGGTGGCCCAGCTGTTCAATGGACACCAGCCACAGGGTGGGGACTCCCTGAATGACAGTTCCACCCAGGGAGGCCCGGGGTGGGCCTTGGGGAGGAGGGGCTGGGAGAACAGGCTGCCCTCCATGTGCCCTTGTCCAGAGGCCCCTGGCAGTGCCCTGGGCCTCCCCTTACTGATTTCTTCAGGGGAGCCTTGCTTGGTAGTTCGAAACATGCCCCAGTGCCTTCATTCAACAAACTGAGCATCTACTCTGCACCCAGAAGCTGCTGGGCACTGGGCTTCCAGAGCAGGAAAGGCGTGCCTCCCTGACAGCTGGCTGCCTCCTGGGGGCGTCCCAGGATCTTGGGGCAGGGCCTCTGCATGGAAACGCTACGGCCGGTCCAGGGGAAGGCATCACATGCTTCTTGCCCCATCTCTCCCTTCCTGGCCTGCAGGTCATCATTTTCATTTACTCCTTCCTCCGGAAAGCTGCGTGGGACTATGGGCGCCTGGGCCTGCTGATACACAATGACAGGTGAGGAGGCACTGGGCTCAGATGTTGCTTGCTCCCTGGAGAACGTGCTCTGACCCACGCCCAAGCAGTCAGCAGGCATCGCGTGTCAACAGTGGCATCTCGTCCCCCATCCCCTCCCCTGGCCTACCCTGCCCCTCCCTACACGAAGGCTACTTGGAGGGCTGCCATCTCTGGGCACAAGGCCACTTATTTCTCAGATTCAGGCTTCCTGGATCCCCGCTCCCAAAATGTGTTGGGCGCCTGGAAGCAGGGGTGATCACCATGTGTTCCCAAAACTGTGTGCTCACCAGACGAGCTCAGGTGTGTCTGCTGCTGGGCAGGAGGTGACTGCAGCCCTGGGCCCAGGGAGCAGGAGGGCGGTGAGGCAGGCACCTGAGGCCTCTCCTCTCCTTCCTGCCTCCCCGATGCTTCCCCTCCGGCAGCCTGGCCTCGCTGATCCACGGGGAGCACAGTGAGAAGCCATCTCCCTCCGAGGTGCCCCTGGAGATGGAATACAAGGACAAGGTGAGTGCTGGCAGGCCCGGCCGGCGGGGTGGGGGGTCCTGGCTCAGCAGCAGCCCTACTGTGTGCAGGAAGGAACATGGTCCTAATTCAGGGCTTTGAAGTCAGCCAGCCCCGCCCACTTCTGGCAATGTGACCATGGACAAGTGCCTCGGCTTTGCCAAGCCTCAGTTTCCCGGTCAGAAAAAATGGAGATTGCAGCCGTACCTACCTCCTAAGATGCCAAGGAAGTAGGAGATGGTCCTGATATTGTAAAGGGGCTTTAGAAACTACTATGTCTACTCTTCCCCAATCCCCAATCCTTCTCCAAGCCCCGATCCTGCCCCAAGCTCCCACTCGGAGCCAAGGACTCGCCTCCTTCCTCACATAGAAGATTCGAGATATCAGGCAGGGCCTCCCAATCCACCATCCTTCCTTCTCTTTCCTGTGGAATGCCAGTCTCCCGCTGGGGCCTGTTTGTTCATTCTGCCAGTTGCTGGGAGCGCCTGCTGTGGGATCAGCCACAGGTCCGGAGGCTGGGCACTGGGCTGTGAGTCACATGGAGCCAGTCTTGCCTCATGGCGCTTCCTTCCTGGGTGAGAGGCAGACAGAGGCATACGGGGCAGTGGCATGTGTGTGAAGGAAAAAGGGACAAGGAAGGTGCTCAGCCACGATGGAATGGAGCTGGAGTATCACAGAGGGGGTCAGGGTGATGTGGGGCATAAAGTGCCATTTGAGCAGCATTGACATGTAGAGAGGGAGGAAGCCGCGAAACCTTCCCTAACCCCAAAATGGCCTGTCTCCCCTGCCCTGCCTCAGCCCGCTGTGTGTGCAATAGTTTCTCACCTCCCATTCACCCCGCAGCTCCCCCGAATATGGCTTCCACCCCCATCACTCCACAGATGGTTACTCTCCCTCCACAGTGCCCTGGTCCCAGACAGCCCCAAGGTCATCGTGGTCCCAAGGCGGGTGGTCCAGGGGACATTCCTCAGTCCTTGTCTCATCTCCCAGAGCAGCTGACCTTTTAGCCCATCTTCCCGTCTTGAGCAGGCACTTCCGATTGCTCCTGTCTACCTCAGGCTCTCTGGGTTTTCCTTCTACCTCTCTGTCTGTCCCCCCTACACCGGGAGCTCCCACAGTTGAACCCAGACCCTCTCCTCTTCCCTCTCTCACAGGCAATGTCTGCCCCACTCATAACTTCAGTTGCCACCTCTATTTATCCAATGGCCTTCAACACATCTTCACATGCCCTGGCCGGTCTGGCTTAGTGGGTGGTGCGTTGTCCCAGGCACCAAAGGTTGTCAGTTTGATTCCAAGTCAAGGCTACATGCCTGGGTTGTGAGCTAGATCCGGGGGGGCGGGGGAGGGGGCATGCGGGAGGCAGCCAATTGATGCTGTCCTCACATTGATGTTTCTCTCTGTGAACGAAACATCATTAAACATATTGGTTGTTAGAGAGAGATGTTCCTCTCTAGCAACCAATAAATTATTTTAAAAACTATATCCACATGCATATTGTAAAGGCATCTTATATTTAATATGTCCACACATGCCACAATCTCCCTCCCTGGCTCCCAGGTCTCAGACTCTCCCACCATCCACCAGCTGCACCTCCTGTGCTCTTGCCCAGGCCCCTGGGCATGGCCAGTTCATGACCACATCATGTGTGGCTTTGATCTTCTCGGCTTTGTTTCCCTCCAACTCTGTCCCATCCCTGTCCAGGCCTTGCCTCTGCCCGTCTCTTGCTTGGGTGACTGCAGTGGCTGTGACTGATCTCTAGGTCTGCACCGGCCTCAGACCCTATCAAAAGTGACCCACGTGAATGGGGTCGCCCGTTCCCCTGCTAAAACTCCCATGGCTTTCTCATGCTCTTGTGCACCTTGACCCTGTGGTTTGGCCTCTTGCCTTCTTATCAGTCTATCTCCTTCCAATTCCTTCACCCCTGGCCCCCCATCTTTTGGATCAGAGATGGGGACTGTCCAGCCCGGGGGCTGTATAAGGCCTGCAGAATCATTTGGTCTGGCCCTGCCAAAGCATTAATTAGGGGTGAGTTAATTCAATGTGTGACCAAAGGTAGCAGGCTGATTTTTAAGTTGATAATTTTGTATGGCTGGCGAATGATATTATGAATATCCAAATGGCCCTTGACAGAAAAAAAGGTTCCCCACCCCTGCTCTAGAGCCTCAAAAGTACCACCTCCCTCCCCTGCTCTTCCCTCTCCACCTCCCCCATTGGCCCTCTCTGAGCCAACACACCCACCTTTGTTAGATTCCAGCTCAAGTACCAACTCCTCACCCCATCCAGATCCAGATCCTTTGTTGTATAATCACAGGGAAAGTACCCCTTTTCTTCAATGCCCCTAGCGAGGTCTGTAATGATACACCCACCCCGCAGCCCAGTGCAGTGCTTCCCAGTGAGAGCCAGTGCTGACCTGGGCTAGCTCTCTGCTATCCCAGCACCAGCCCAGCCCGTGGGGTATTAGGACCTGACACGGCTCTAGCTGTTGGATCCAATGGGTTAAGTAGAACCATATTTCTTTCCAACTCATCACACCAAGAGAGCGGGTCCCTTTTCCTGCCGGGATCTCTCGATGAGAGTGGGAGCCTCAGGCAGGTTTCTCTTCTGCAGAACAAGGGCAGTCACACCTGCCTTGCCAGGTGGTTCTCGGGTTTACTTTTAGAAACAACACTTTGGTTGTTTTTTTAATTTTTGTACGGTGACAAAAATCATTTTCTTTTTAAAGTATTAAGAGAAACATCATTATGGCAGCTAAGGGGCAGTCAAGCGGAAGAGAGTAGAAGTTCATTTGACAAGGAGGAAGAGTGGCATTTTTCCAAAGTGCAGGGACTCATACCCATAGCAATCCCCTTAGGAGAACCCTGATTGGCCCTAGTTGAGTCATGCTCCTGATGGTCACCTGACCATGTTGGCAGCTGCCTACTTGAAGGAGAGCCTAGGGGGGAGGGGGAGTGGGGAGAGCATTTCCCAGAAGGAAGCATTGAGGGGCAGATGGAAAGCATCTGATGTCCATCCCAGAAAGAGTCCCTTCTCTCCCTCTGGCCCACGCGTCATTTCCTGTAACGGAATGCCAGGCAACAGGAATGCCAACTCACTCACAGGGAGACATCTCCCTCAGCAGTCACCACCGACCCTAGACCCAATCAGCCTTCCCCCAGGACTCAGGCTCTTGCTCTTGCCGGGAAGGAGAGCTGGATGGACACTGCCTGCTGCCTGGGATGCGGTGGTGCCTGGGTTCCCAGAGCTGGGTGGGGCCGGCCCAGGCCTGAACTTTCTCACGCTTCCTCTCCTTTTCCCCCAGGGCTCCTACTCCTGGTTCTTCAACACCCTCACCATGAAGTAAGTACCTGAGCTTTCTGAGCCTGTGACAGCAGAGCGGCCTTATTGAGGGAGGCTAGGCAGAGTCTCCTACCTGCATGCTGGCCTGGGCCTGAGTTCTGTGTCCTCAACTCTATACACGCCCCCCCCTCCCCATTATGGCTCAGGCAGAGGATGCTCTCTGGGGTTACTGTTGGTGACAAGGGAACAGGATGTGGCCCACAGCCCATTTAATCTCTGCCCCAGCCCTCAAGAAGGGCTACTTTCACAAGCTTATAAAAATGCTTTCATGAACACACCAGGAAAAGGATAGCCTTCCCCAGTGCTAGTTGCTTTGTTTCTGTGATCATCATTCATCAAATTTGTAGGGGAAAACCCACCGGGCAGAAAGGTGGGCTTCCTCTCTCAACCTCAGTACCGATGGCAGAGGGACAGCCCCTCGCCCTCCTCACCTATGGGATCTCATTAGGCCAGACGCCATCTGGAGGAGACAGACCCCTAGTGACTATTGTCCTGATTCTCCCATTCCAGCCAAACACTTTAGTCAAGCAAATACTTTCCAGAGCTCTGTGGCCTGCTGCATATGTATTCATATGCGCACACACGCATGCACGCATGCACACAGCTCTGACTTCACCTCAGAACCCTGCACACTCCTGGGCTCTCCCTAAATATCCCCATTCATCCTGCCTTCCGATCCTTCAAACCCCTCCTCCAGGGCCCTTTCCTGCCTGGTGATGCCTGCCTTGAGTTGCAACCTCACTGCCCGCCCCACGCCCCAGAGGCCACCTACACAAGGGGAGGCCTGCTAATTTGCTTCTTTGCAAAGACTCAGAGGACTTCTTTCTCATGGGCCTCCCCACCCACCATTCAAAGGCTTTGCAGGGAGCATTCGCACATTGTCCCAACCCCCAACTACACCAGGTGAACCACACCAGGGCAGCTCTCTTTCCCCAGACTGCTGAAGGGCCCAGAAACTGTGGGAACACAGGGCTACCTGGCTGGGCCTTGGGAATCCAAGCCAGGCTTAGGACCAACAGCCTCTTGTGTTGATCCCCAATCCCACTAATGGGGAGTTCCCCAGGGCATGGGCCTCCAGTCTTCTTTCATGATTCCTCCAAGTCCCCAGAAAGTGATATGGCAAATTTATGTGTGGTTCAGGAAGCTTAGTCACATTGGGGGTTAGGGGCAGAGGGGAGACTTGTGCTGCTTGTAAATTTTTTATTGAAGGATAACATGCAGGAAACTGTACAGAAGGTAAGTGTCCAGCTCAATTATCACAGAGCAAAGCCTGTGCAAACACCATCCTGATCAAGAATTAAAACATTGCCAACATCCCAGAAGTCCTCTCCTACTCCCTGCCAATCAATCCTTATCTCCTCCCCCTCTACAAAGTAACCAGCACCCTGACTTCTAACTATAGTTTAATATTGCCTATTTTTAAACTTTATCTATAAAATCACATGGCATGTATTGTTTGTGCCTGGCATCTTTCACTCAATATTGTTTTTGCGAGGTTCAGCTATGGTCATTCATTTTTATCTTTGTATAGCATTTTACTTTATATCTATATAATGTGATATACACACACACACACACACACACACATACATATATGGCTACAATAGACAGATATGTCACTACATGTATATCTCACATATATGCATAAATAAGATATCCCTAAAAATGTAGGCATATACTTTGAATAATTATAAAGGCAGTATATATTAAATTATATTTCATTTAACAGCTATCAACTCTTAAAGTGTGTATACATTTTTTTGGACACTCTGTATATCTCACAATTCTATATCCATTCCACCTTTAATAGACATTTAGGTTGTTTCCAGTTTGGGACTATTACAAATAATGCAACTATGGAATCCTTATATGTGTCTTTTGATGCATAGGTGCGTGCATTTCTGTTGGATATAAACCTAAGAATGGAATTGCTAGGTTGTAGGGTCGGCATATATTCAGTTCCTAACTTTGGCCAATCTGGCAGTATGGAGTGATATCTCATTGTGATTTTCAGTATTCTTTTTTAATGTAAAGTATTAAAAGAAACAACTTTTTAAAAGTAGGAGGCATCTTGATGGGACTAGTGGTTTGTCTGTTGCCTGCACCATAGCAAGCACTCAAAATACTTGAAGACACAAGACCAAATGAATGCCTGATTTCAAGTGTGTTCTGTGTTAAGTGTGGCAGAGCCTTTGTCTTTGCTATGCCTATGAAATTCAGTGAAACGTGTTTTAGGCATAACAGAGGCCTTAAAAAGAAGAGTGATGTTTCAAAAAAATTCAAACTTCAGGTTAAGGTAGTAATCTTCTCTCCCTTTCCTCTACCTCTTTCTCCCCACCCCTGACTTAAGCTGTGGCCACATTGGCTCCTGAGGAGTGTCTTGTCTATGTCTCTTCCAGGAACAGAGATCTGATCAGCAAATGTGGAGATGATGCCCGCATTTACATCATGTTCCAGTATCACCTCATCATCTACATGCTCCTCCTCTGCGTCCCCTCCTTGTGCATTATTCTGCCCATCAACTACAACGGGAATGTGCTGGGTAGGCAGTGCTGAGCAGGCCCTGGGCTTGGGCCACTAGACCTGAGAGGCAACCTGGTAGGCGGGACAGGTCGTAGGTCCTGCAGGTCTAGAAATCTACATTTTAATTCCACTTCTCAGAATTAGTTACGTGACCTAGCAATTTATGCTTCCGTTTTCTCACCTGGAGACTGGAAATGATACCTCCCTTGTCACAAGTTTAACCTAAAGCCTGGCACCTAGCAGACATCCAGGAGTGATGCAGTCTAGGACTGATTGAACCCACCCCATATTGCACCTGGCCAGGTGTTCCTGGAGGCCCTTTTATGACATCAAGTCCCTGAACCTTAGTCCTTCCTTTATCCACTCTGATGGACAGATCTTAGGGGCAGAATTTGTCTCATAAGGCGTCCTCCCACACTTGTTATAAAACAGAGTAAGGCCTTTTGACAAAATAACATTGTGGGTGACGGCTTAGGCTTCAAGGACAGAAAAACCTTGATTTCCCAACTTTGACCCACTTCTGCTTCCCAGAAAACACTTTTGTTCGATCTAGCAAATTATTGGATCTTATATTTGGTAAGTCAGTTTCCCCAGGGCTCAGTTTCCTGGACTGTCATGAGGATGGGAGAGAATGCGTGCTGAGCGCCTGGCTCAAGGCCTGATGTAGTAGGTGCTTAGTGAAATAAATGAAACCTCAGCCACAGTTTCATTTAGAAATAGGAAGATGGGCAGAGGTGTAGGAAGGCTGTACAGTGAGGTGGTCTAGAATAGCACCTTCAATGTCCCGGTGACGGCCAGCTTTACCCTCATTGCTCAGGTTTCCACTTATTTCTCCAGAGGCAGACCTCAATGAACTCAACATAGCACAGTGTCCATGCCTTCAAATACCACGACCAGAGCAAACAACTTCTGACTTTGTCTTCCAAGAGTCTCATCCTAAGCTAGTGTGTTGGCAATGACGTATAACACAGGGTTTCTAGACACATCTCGCGAAACCTGGATATGTCTAAATGGACAAACACACTTGGGCAGAAGGATTGTCTCTGTCTGAATGAGGGAGCATCACATTTTCTAGAGTTTCAGGTCCTTGCCATTGGTAGCAGTGTTGCTAATGTCATCATTCCACTCATGGCTGGTCCCCTCAACAAGCATTGTAGGGTGTCCGTTATGTGTCAGTTGTGCTCCGGGGATGCCACACCAAGACTCGGTCTTGCTTGATGGTCACGGAGCCCCCATCAGCAGGTCCAGGGAAAAGAAGAGGCCTCTGCCATTTCTGTTGGAAGTTGGGGACAAGCTCTGGGGAGCTACAAGGAATAGCAGGTCGCAGGCCAGCATCCCTGGGCACTCATTGGAGAACCTTGAATTCTGGCTCCCCAGGCTTGAGGTCAGCAACTTTCTTCTCTTGCAGACTGGCATAGTCACTTTGGTCGGACCACCATTGCCAATGTCTCCACAGAGTAGGTACCTGACCCTCTTACCTCCCATTCTATGGGCTGGGGGTGTTGGTGGGGAGAGAAGGTTCAACGTGAGGTACATAGCGTGGGCACCATTTTGCTGATAAGAAAGGCCTGATTTCCTTGGGAACCCAGGCCCTAAGTGAGATGCCAGTAGTTATATTCTCTTGGTGGGGCAGAACTCTTGGTGCCTCAGTGTTCCCTACAAAGAGTGGAACTACCCAAACCAGCCATTCCTGAACACTTGGAAAGAAGCCCCTATTTGCTTAGTCAGTTTCCAATAGGCAAAGACCCCATAATAGCCAATAATTAAGGTATTGCTTCCCTGCCCACAAATAGGGCCAGGTAGTTGAGTGAAGCATAGACCAACCTGGGTTCATGTCCTACCTCTGCCACTAGCTGACCTGGGTCTGGGACAGACCCTCAGAGCTTCATCCCTAGTTTGTGGTGGGCAAAAGGCTGTTGGACATGATCTCTAGGCCCTCTCCAGCCCTCATAGTCCAAGAATCATGGGTTTTAACCTCAGCCAAACCAGTGGGTGGCTAAATCGATTTGTACTGACCCCACTGGAGCCCTGCTGGTCATATTGAGAAAATCGATGCCCTAGATATCTTGGCCAAGTGTGGCCAGCTTCCTGAGAAAGCAGAAGCAGCTGTTCCACCAAGTGTGAATAAGGGTTCACACACTCCTGCCCTACCTTCCCTCCCCTACTCATCTGCCTGTGCCTCTGCACCCCTGCAATGCACCAAACTCCCCAATCAGCAGAAGAGGATCATGGTCTCCTTCCTCCTCCCTTTCAGCCTGCTCTGGGGTTAGTGGCATCCTCCTGAGATGCCACTAACCCCAGAGCAGAGCTTACCAGCTTCTCCCCAGGCCATCACTGGTGTGAGGAACTACACTTTCCTGGCAATTTTATATAAGGCAGTAAAGTGTCTTCAACATCCATAAATCCATATTGGCAGAGAGCTGGAATGTTCCTTAGAGACCACATAATCTTGCCCCCTCATGGGAAACTGAGGGTCGAGACGTCCAGCTAGGTGGGGAATGTTAGGTGGATGTCAGGTACCAGGATGAGTGGTGAGGAGGTATTTTGAAGCAAGACAGCCTTTTCCTCCTCCTCCCGCTCCAAATAAGGTGGGTCCTATTTCTGAACAGTTATCCTGGCCAGTTGCCTGGGGCCAGCATCACATGGGCCCAAAGCTCAAGTGCTACCACTCTTCCTGCCCTAGGGGAGGTGTCGTGAATCCGAGGGTCCTCCTTCCTCCAGGCCTGCAGATTCCCACATCCCAGAGTTCGGGTAGCTGTGGGGATCTGAGCCAGAGCCACTGGCAGCACGACATAGCGGTGAAGAGTCCAGGGCTGCTGCTATGGCTAGAAGGAACTTCAGGCAGATCATGTATCACTCTGACCTTTAGGGTAACACCAAGATAGTCACCTGGTGTGAGAATCTAGTGAGAAATGTAGATAAAGCATCTAGTCCCACCCTGGATCTGGCATATAGTAAGCACTCAATGAATGTTGGCTTCATTAGCTGGAGCGGGACACTCCGTCTAGCCATTGCTGTCCCTTCCAAGGAGCGGAGTGTCTGGAAGCAATGGAGGGGTGTCTTGAGGAGACTTTGGGTGGGAGAGGGGTACCCTGGGGAGACTGGGTGAGAGAGGAGGTCCTGGGGAGACTGTGGATGAGAGAGGAGGTCCTTTGGGAGACTGGGTGTCTGAGGAGGTCCCAGGGAGACTGTGGGTTGGAGAGGGGGTCCTGGGGAGACTGTGGGGGGGATAGGGGTCTTTGGGAGACTGTGGGTGGGAGAGGGCATTTCAACCTCCTGTGTCTCCCCCTGGCAGTAGTAAGATCCTGTGGCTGCACAGCTTCTTTGCCTTCTTGTACTTCATCATCAACCTGTTCTTCATGGCTCATCATTGCTTAGGGTTTGTGCCCAAGAGGAGCTCGGTAAGTGAAAAGAGCTGCCAGAATGGCTCCCTTCCAGCTGGACCCCCTCCCCAGCTGGACCTCCCACCCCCAGCCTCAAAGGCTTCTCAGCGGGGCATATTCTGCACCCCAGTGAGGAGAAGTCTCCCCCTAACCCTCTGAACTTCAATGGTTGTGAAACCACTGAATCACTTCCAAACTGGTTGGTGAATAGCTGCTCCCTGGTACCTCCTATCCCTGCACCCTGGCTGCCCGTCCCCTCTCTAGGGGCCCCTGGACCTCCTCACCATCTGAAAACTCCAAAGTTAAGAAACCCCTGGCCCAGCAGGGCCTGGCATCCTAAGTGGCCAGTGACCCCTGCTGAACTGGGTAAATATTTTCACTAGCCTGGCCCACTCCAGCCATACCCAACCTCCTTTGCCTTCCAGAGTCTTCCTAAATTCAGAAACCCTATGTCCTGCCCCCGTGTCTCCCCACTGTCTTAGTTTGGGTTACCCCTACCCCATCTCCCATGCAGATCCCAAGATAAGGATCTGAGTAGCATTGGTTTATTTGGGAGGTGATCCCAAAAAAGACCACGGGACCCAAGGGGGGAAGGGGGGGCAAGGGTAGTGGGACTTGGAGGAAAGACTTCTGTTGAAGGGGCGGGAAGAGGCAATTCACGACTGTGGGAGCCGACCCCTAATCCCATGGGAAACTCTGAGTGTATGCCCTAGAGTTTCTCAAGCCAGTGGAGATCAGTCGGGTGCATTTTCCCACCTATTCCCTGTCCATCACTGGCTGGGCGCAGTGTTTGGGGCTTTAACTCTTCTCCACTCCTTGCTCTGCACGTGGGCTGGGCAAGCTGCCAAGGTCTGGAAAGAACCCCTGTGTTTGCAGTGCTTGGGCGTCTTTGGGATGTGAGGCGAGTGAGGGGCGGTGGGCAGGCACTGCAAGGGGAGGGGCATGCGAGTGGTAGGGCTCCGGTGGGGAAGGGAACCAGCGCAGAGGAACATTCCTGGCTCCTCGCCATCAGCCTTTCAAAGGTTCAGTGGAGTGGAATCCACTCCTTCGAGGCCATCCATACTGAAGAACTGATTAGCTTGACCTCACCCCAGAACTCCAATTCACATACCCCTGAATGGTCACCCCAAAGGCTTCTGCCTGCCAGGCATGGTAAGTAGTAGGCCTGCTCCAGATGCTGCAGGGCCCCCGAAGCCCCAGGCATTCGGGTCCTGAGTGAGCAGTCTTCCTTCTCCATGTAACCCCCCACCTAGGTCAACAGAACACTGATGATCACCTATGTCCCCATAGAGATCCAAGACCCTGATCTCATCATAAAGCATTTTCAGTAAGTGGGTTGGGTGCATTGAGCATGGATTGCCTCCTCCCAGTAACCCTGCCTGGATTCTTATGTGGGTAGTGAGTCAGCACAGGAGGGTGAGGTGAGAGACACCCCAGGTGGTGGCTTGCCCTAGACTGGGCTAAGGATCATCCTTTCAGAATTGGGGAGTCCTAGAGCTACAGCGGGGCTTCTAAAGTAAGGGGTTCCTACATAGTATGGGTGTCGGGGGGAGCTAGTTTTCCTTTACCTGGTTGCTCCAGCTATGAGCCCAGGGTGTTCCTGGGCCACAGTCACCTAGGATAGGTCATCTTGGGGCATCTTTTGTGACCCAAGTGTCCAGCCTCAGAAGCTAATTATCTCTCCATGAGCAGCCATTTGGCTCTGCCCCTGGGCCCTGTTCTTGGTCATCTGGGAAGGATGTGGCAAATCTCAGATTACAGGGATCAACCCCGAAGTGTAGCTTTAAGAGCAAGAGGTGGATTCTTCATCCAAGACCCAGGAACCACAGGCAGCTGAACCCCCAGCTCTGTGGGCTGTAGCTCTGGCCCAGGGTGGGGTGGCACATCCTCAGCCCCACAGCTGGCTCAGCATCCATCTTTGTGGCTGCAGCGAGGCCTATCCAGGGTGCGTAGTGACCAGAGTCCACTTCTGCTATGACGTCAAGGACCTCATTGACTTGGACGATCAGAGGTGAGGCTGCAGCGGGACGTCTGCATCTGGGGTGGGGGTGGAATGGGAGGATGTGGCTCCGCTGGCCCCTGACTACAAGGCCCTCCCGCTCCCCATTGCCTGCCGGCCGACAGGCGCCATGCGATGCGGGGCCGCCTCTACTACACAGCCAAGGCCAAGAAGCATGGGAGGGTGATGATCAGGATCCACCCCTGTTCCCGCCTGTGCTTTTGCAAATGTTGGACCTGCTTCAAAGAGGTAAGTGGCACAGGTATCCAGGGACACAACAGAGGAAGGGCTTGGGGCCCTGGTCTCCAGGCTCTGTCCAGGGCTCTGTCCAGGAAGTGGCCCAACATGCACCCTCAGACCCCAGGCCCTCCCTTCCTCCCCCCCCTTCCTGCCTCCCTTAGAGAATGTAGAGGATGGACCAGAAAGGCTTGCTCTGTCCCACTTCTAGTCTTGGATGGGAGGACCAGAAGGAAAACAGCAGGCTGCTGTAGCCTGCCAGGCCTCGGGCTTTCAAAGAGATAGGACAGGAACACTTGAAGGCAGTGGGCTTCATCTTATCACCCATCCACTCTGGCTAGAAGGCAGCCTCAAGCCTCAAACACCTGCCTCGGGCAGCACTGAGCTCTAGTCCAGAGAAAGAATCAACCCCCTTTCCCGAAAATGCTGCAAACGTACTCTTTCACTCCTCTGGAGTCCACCCAATGTCCGAAAGCACTCACTCCTAACCCCCAGCTGTGCCTCACCTTCCCCAGACCTAGAAGCAGGGAGCTGGTTTTAGAGTCGAAGCCTCTTCCTGTTCTAGAGTTGGGTCCTTTGAGCCCAACTGGGTCCTGAGCCAGGCTTCCCTGGGAGCTGGGGATGAATAGAGGCCTGGGGCCCTCTGCCCCGTGTCCATGCGAGACCTTTCTAGGGCTCTGACCCCTGCTCTGAGGGCCCCTCTCACCCAGGTAGATGCAGAGCAATATTACAGTGAGCTGGAGGAGCAGCTGACCGATGAGTTCAACGCCGAGCTCAGCCGCGTTCCGATGAAGCGCCTGGACCTGATCTTTGTCACCTTCCAGGACGTCAAGATGTCGACGCGGTGAATGCCCCGTCCCAGGAGTGGGCCTCTGCTTCTCTGAAGCTACCTCCTTCCCTGAATTTCAGCCAAGCAGGGGGGAGGGGGGGATGAGAGAGCCTCTCTCCAGTTTGCAATATCCTGCCCTCCCCAGCCCCTGCACGTCCTCAGAGGCAGCGCCATCTCCTGCCCAGAGCCTGGCCACACCCTCTCCCCTCCCCCAGGGGGCCAGCTCAGCTTGGCTCTGGTTATACTAGGCCCTGAGCACCTCACTCCCCTATGTCCTTCCTGCAGCACGGGGGTGGTCAGAGTAGCCTTTGAACTCTTGGTTCCTCTTCTGGGACAAGAATGACACCCATTTTCTCCCTCATCACTTATTATCTGCTCCTCACCACAAGTGACGGTCAGGGTAGAGAAACCCAACTTGCATTTCTCCTCTCCTGCTGCAGGCCTCCCCACTCCTGGCCTTCAGCCTCCTCTCTCCTGTGCCTCAGACTCTAGCAGCCCCACCTTGATAGGGAGTAGATTATGTCCACTCTAGAATGTTCTGGAAGGATCCTTAGATCCTTAGATCCAGAATCAGTCTCTTGAGGGTTGCAGGGGGCCCACCTCTCCCTGAGGAGACTGATCATGGACAACACTGTCCTCGCCCACCCAGCCCTACAAAGGAGCAGTGGGATAGCCTTGCATTTAGTCACGAATAATTGTGTGCAACTTTGCAAATCTCAAATTTCTTATCTGTCCAATCTGCTTATTTAGATCTTCTCCGTCCAGCTCCCAGGGACTTAAGAAAGGATGCATGTTCTAATTAGTGTGTGTGTTCTATGAAACATTGCATAAGACTACACTTCTTATGTTATGAGGCATCGTTAATGACGGCAGAAGTGTGGAGGAGAAGGCCGAGATGGGGTCCTCTTTGCCTATGTCTTCAGGCACCTCAATTTAGTAATCTGTACCATTGGGATTATGTTAATCACCAGTGAGCACAGTGCCGGGCGCACAGAAAGAACTCCGTGATTGGTAGATACTGACATTCGGATGAGGGTGAAATGAGTGCCTCCCCTGTCAAGCTCTGAGAAAGAACGTGTCTTGGTGTCTCTGCTGTCAAGGGGCCAAGACATTAACTGAGAGTCATGTGGTCCCCTCCCTTCCTGGGCACCCCTTTCCTCCAGTGACTAGACTTCAGGATCTGCCCACCTCGAAGGGCCTGGGAGACATAGCCAAGGCTTCAAGAGGCCCCAGGGAGTGTATGAGGCTCCACCTGGGGAACCCTGGCATGAAACCCCCCAAGCCCTTCCTCTTCACCCCTAGACTTCTGTCTCCTTCTTCCATCTCGGCAGCATCGTAAGGGACTACAAGTTTTCCCCGTGTGGGGTGTACCCCCAACAGTCCTCCATGACCACCACCATCAAATCCCACCGCTGGAGGGTTACCTTTGCCCCACACCCCAAAGACATTATTTGGTAAGTCCCCTCTTCCGCCCCCTCTCCTTTGAGACTAAAGAGGGCAATGGGAAACAGGATGGGAGAAGAATCAGATCCACTTTGTTGCCCATTTACAGCCCCCTCTGGGGCTGGGCCATATCCTCTTCTGAGCACCTCAGCCTCTGCCACCTCCGAGCCCACCCCACCACAAGTGAGGATGGCACCAACTCCTGGGGAAAAGGCTTTTCCTGCAGAGAGAACACATCTATTTTTATTTTATTTTATTTATTTATTTATTTATTTACTTACTTACTTACTTACTTATTTTGCTCGCCAGGGAAAGGGCCAGGGCCAGTAGCATGCAGGTCTAGGTCCAAGAGGCTGAATGAGACTAGGGCAGCCTGGCCCACAGCTATTATGCAGGAAATAGCACGTGGGCTCTGTCAAAGGGTTGGAACCTGGAGTCCTAAGGGCATCTCTTTTCGTCCATCCCTTCCAGGAAACACCTGTCTGTCCGCCGCTTCAAATGGTGGGTCCGCTTCATCATAATCAACACCTTCCTCTTCCTCTTCTTTTTCTTCCTCACCACGCCCGCCATCGTCATCACTACCATCGACATGTATAACGTCACCCGTCCCCTCGAGAAGCTACAGGTACCACCTCTGCTCCAGCTAGCCTGGGGTGTCAGGGAGGTGAAGGAAGAACTCAGAGGAGGATGGAATGGGGGGCCCATGGAGACATGGATCCAGAGCCCATGCACCAACACTTTGGTGGAGGTGGCATCAGGGTGAATGGTGGCATAGAGTTTCCTTTGTTCTAAAGGGGATGAATACTCATCGCTGCCCATCTTAGGGACTGGGACTGAGAAGCAAAGGGAGAGTGGGGGAGCTGCAGGGAGGTTCTGGGGTGAGTTTGGAGGGAAAGAATGGTCTAGTCAATCATGGGCTCAAAGAGCTTCTTTAGATCCACCACCCAGGCCTAGCCGTAAAGGGGGGGCAGCAGAGGGCGTGGCAGGTGTGGCAGCTCTGTTCCCCCCACATTCTAGAGCTGGGCCTGTGTTTGAGGGATAGGGTTGAGGGTGGGAAGATTATTCTCACCCCTATTCCAGTATCTCTCTCTCTCTCTCTCTCTCTCTCTCTCTCTCTCTCTTACTTGGGCCCTCCTTTTCATCTTCACAATAGGCTCCAGGCAGGAGCTCCACAGCTCTCCCTGGGGATTCTTTATACATATTATTGATCTCAGAGAGGATTGGAGAAGGAGAGAAAGAGAACAATCAATGATGAGAATCACCGATCGCTGCCTCCTACACACCCCACACCAGGAATCAAGCCCACAGCCCGGGCATGTGCCTTGATCTGGAATTGAACCGTGACCTCGTGGTTCATAGGTCGATGTTCATCCACTGAGCCATGCAGACTGGCCTCCCTGGGGATTCTTTATTCATATCCTTCCCCTTTTTGCCACTTCTCACACAGCATTACATTAAAGACAGAGTCATCTCCCCGAGGTATGACACATGAGTGATAGCAGCTGGCTCTGGTCCAGGCTGCCCCTCCAGCAACCTTAGCATAGAAGGTCTATGACCTTGGATGCCACTTGACCTTAGGGTGGGAGCCTCTGCGTGTCCCCAGTCAGGTTGACCCCGGCCAGGAAGGCAGTTAAGAAAGGCCAGGCCCATTGTACAGCTCAAGGAAACCAGTCCTGCATTGGGACTGAGCTGGAGAAGAGGCCAGATGTGCGGGAAAAGACAGAGGAGGCCTGGAAAAGGAAGGGGCCTTCTTGCACTGATGTCTCTCTCCCTCTTCTACCCCGCCTCTGCAGAGCCCCATCATAACCCAGTTCTTCCCCTCCCTGATGCTCTGGACCTTTACAGTGGTAATGCCTCTGATTGTCTTCTTCTCTGCCTTCCTGGAGGCCCACTGGACCAGGTGAGCTGGGGCCTCTTCTCCAAGACCTATTCTTCCCATCCTTTCCCCTGCCCTCCCCCCGTCACCCACTAGCTCTGTACTCCCATCTGGCCTAAGGAATGGGATTGGATATTCAAAACTATCCCAAAAGGGTAAGGGGCAGGCTGCATTGTCTCTGGGCCTTTGGCCTCAGGCATGCTGAGACAGGGCCACTGTATAAAGAGATGTGGGGCTAAAACCAGGTGAGAGCTTCCAGCCATGCACTGACAGGGTGGAGCTGTGGACAGAGGAATGAGCAGGACTGGTTTGGAGAATGTACAGAAGGCTGCAATGGCCAGCTCAGAGGAGCCCGTGAATTCACACTGACTGTGGACCCACCTGGCCCATACAGGGCCCACATTGTAGTCAATCAGGAACAGTTTCCCATTGGTGAGCCCTAATAGTTCTATGGTGGCTAACTGGATAGGAAGTATTGCTTATATCCTGGGCAGGTGGACCTGCTTTGGCCTGAGGGCTGCTACATGGGTCTCAAAAGTTATTTCCTGCACCAAGGTTCCTACCATCCTACTAGGCAGCAAGCCAGGAGGTTTGTCCTAACAAATCCTTACTGGTCTCTCCTGTGGCCAAGAACAGGGCTTATATTGGTCATCGAAACGCCAAAGATATTTTGAATTTCGCTGGTAATGTCCCTTTAACAGATGTCAAGTGTGTGGCACATATGCCTCCCCTTCCTGGGCCCAGGGGAGATATCACTAGTTGATCATGTGATGTTTTCCTGCTGCTGCCAGTCACAACACACCTCACAGTGCTCATAGAGAAGGCATTGGTATGCGCTAGTAAATGATTTTCTAGGACAGGTAGCAGTCTCTCCCTCTGTCTCTTCCTTCTGTAGTTTTAAGCCTTTGGTTCTTACCACATCTCACTCACCAATGAATCTCTGTTCCCTTCCAGTTCAAATCAGAATCTGGTCATTGTGTATAAGTGCTACATCTTTCTCGTGTTCATGGTGATCATTCTGCCCTCTATGGGACTGACCAGGTACCTCTCCTCTAATTATTTCTCCTTTCTTAGCTTAGAGTTGGAACCTCCTCTTTCGAATACTGTAGGTCTACCTGTAGTTGCTGCAGATCCAATCCTCGATTGGCAGTCCAGGGGGCCTGCCATGAGCCTAGCATGTCCCAGGTATCATGCTAACTCTAAGGTGTCAGCCATAAACTCTGCCCTCACAGAGCTTACCTTCAAGCTGGGATGACAAGTCAGGCCTCCCAGCTAACTGAAAGCCCATACTGGGGACCACGCAATAGAAATTCAGAAGGAGAGAGCACTGTAGGAGGAATAGCTGTGGGAGAAATTTTGCTAAAGGAGATGGCCTTGAGCTGAAAGGCTAACAGCTAGGGGCAGGATGGCCCAACATGAGGAAGGAGGAAAGGCAGTGTGAGCTGGCCAGCTAGAATATTAGAGTTCAAGAGTCTTTGGGACTTGGACAAGGGAAGTCAGTCCAAGAAGAATTGAACCCACGGCCTTGGTTCAAAAATTTATCCAATAAAGGGCCTGCCTTGTTCTTGCTTCTAGTTTGGATGTCTTTCTCCGCTGGCTCTATGACATCTACTACCTGGAAGAGGCAACCATCAGGTTCCAGTGAGTACTTGAGTGCATGTTGCAGGTGCACTCCCAGTGTGCACTGGGGCTCTATGGGCTCACACCAGGATGTAGATAGGTGCACCCTTTACTTGTTCACACAGGTAGACATGAATGCATGCAGACACCCTCATTAGGCAGCCTCTTAACCTTTCCTGTGCTGTGAACTCCCAGGGCAATCTGGTAAACCCAGGTCCCCTTCTCTGAATCTTTTTAAATAATTGTAGATTCACAGGGAAATTGTCCCCCCTCCTCCAAAGTGCCCTGTGTTCCCTTCATCCAGGGTCTCCCAATGGTAATATCTTGCATGACTCTAGTACAATATCATAACCAGGAAATTGACATTGAAACAACTCACAGGACTTGTTCAGGTTTGGCCAGTTTTACATATACTCGAAGTATACGTCTTTAAATACACAAAATACCTGGGTTACAAAGAACAGCAGCTTCACTGAAGCCTAATTCTCAAACAATTTAAAAATCAAATTGGTAACAGTCTTTGTAGCACATTTAATGGCAGGACAATGCATTTGAGAAGTAGGCAAGCTAAAGTGACACTTGATTGTTTCAATGGCATCCGTGTGGACGCTGATGTCACTTAGCTGGAAGAAGACTATTAGATGGATGTTGGGGGCCATCTTTGCCAAGGCAACAGGCAGGTCGTGTTGGACATCCAGCCAATTGCAACTTTATTTTTTATTTGTAAGATTCCCGATGTTGAAAACCCCCATGTTCAAAGAAATAATGCTGCAAATGATACCTAAGCTTCCATAGCTTGCTCTGTAGAGGGAGCTCCAGAATCCTCCAAGGTTTCAGTACTTTCTGCAAATTGCAATCAATTGTAGATGCTTTCCCAAGATGAAGGAGTTCATCTTTGGCTCCTTTACACCTTGAACACGGTTTATATGTGAGGAAGAAAAGCACTGGGAGTTCATGAAGGACAGCTGTCGAAGGAGTTCTGAAATATGTCCAGGGCTCTCTGACTTCTCTTTTTAAGGAAGATGACAGAACTGTGTAGATGGGGGCACCAGTGTGAGACCAGGCAGCGTGGCCATTAGGTGGCGGAATGACTCCAGGCTGAAGTTGGCTAGTGATCTCAAATACACGTCGTAGGCAGAGAGGAAATTTTCAGTTAGGCAGAGTGTAATGACATGCCCGATAACTAACATCGTTTTGAAGTAGGAATCAGCACACATGATACTGTGAGATGTCAGCAATGACTTCAGCATCACAGCAAACAATGTGGCTCACGTGGCCGTGGTTCCTTTTTCAGATTCTTAATGGGAGGAAATGCTGAATTGCAGTAAGAAGTTAGTGGAAATAAAGATGTAATTTTTCTCCATTTAATATATTTTTACTGACTTCAGAGAGGAAGGGAGAGGGAGAGAGAGAGATAGAAACATCAGTGATGGGAGAGAGTCATTAATAGGCTGCCTCCTGTACGCCCCCTACTGGGGATCGAGCCAGCAACCCAGGGATGTGCCCTTGATCAGAATTGAACTTGTGACCCCTTCAGTCCATAGACCGATGACACTCTATCCACTGAGCCAAACCAGCTAAGGCTATTTTTTCCCCATTTAAAATCACAGAAACTCCCATCTCCCCCTCAAATTCTACCTGTGGACTCTCCAGGGTATGTGGTCCAGGTCAAACAGCCTGCTTTAGATAAAGCCAGCACATGTGTCGCCCAACATATCCACATTTTTACGGACACCATCCCCATCCCTGGTCCAAAGGGCCCTTGTCACTTAAACTGAGCTGGGAACACATGTGTAGGAACCTTGTTCTCCCCATGTTGACAAAGCAATAGGCAGGTCATGTTGAATGTCCAACCAATGTTGATTTTGTTTTTTTAAGTTTAGGGTTACAAAGGTTGGGAGTCCCAGTTTTCAAATACATAATCCCCACCCCTTTGGTTCCTTTCTTTGCTCCCTCTCCTCCTCCCTCTCACACCTCTGCCTTGCCCTCTCCTCTGGCTCTGCTGCTGCCTCCCACCCTCACCGTGCCCAGGTGTGTGTTCCTGCCAGACAACGGCGCCTTCTTCGTCAACTACGTGATCACGTCATCTCTGTTTGGCACCGGCATGGATATGCTGCGCCCGGGGTCCCTCGTGATGTACAGCACCCGCCTCTTCTTCTCCCAGTCGGAGCCAGCGAGAGTCCACATCAGGAAGGTGAGGGCCGGCTCTCCCCTAAGCACAGCCCTCCTCGTGGCCCTTGGGAGGGCATCAGGAAGGGGGCCTCCTGGAAGCCCCGTAGGGGTACGGGGGAAGGGGTGCTTCTTCGGCTTGGAAGGCAGGCTGCTGACCAGCTCCCAGACCGATACAGAGCCCCAGGAGCAGCCGGGCCCCCTTCGGTGACTCCTGCTTCCTGCCCAGGACCAGGCCTCGGAGTTCCAGTTCGGGCGTGAGTACGCGTGGATGATGAACGTCTTCAGCGTGGTGGTGGCGTACAGCATCACCTGCCCCGTCATTGTCCCTTTCGGTGAGTCACCCCGCAAGCATAGCCAGGGCTCTGCACCCTCCATCTGGAAGGAGGAGGAGTCGAGTCCCACAACATCAGCCTCACATCCGGGAACAGGAGGAAACCTGGGGTGGGATGGGATGGCCTGTCAGCCGGGCAGAGGTGTCAGGGCCAGGTCAGGAGGTGGAGAGGGCACGGCTATTGGCATGGAACATTTATTAAGTGAATGCATGAGTGAATGACTCTTCCCCGAGTTGGCAGAATAGGTTCTGGGGCTCACGGGAAGATGCCGGTACCAGAGGTAGGCACCACGGGGCCGCCAGAGCCTGTCCTCGGCCCTTGCTGCTCTGACTTCTCAGTAGTGTGGGGACCTTGGGATAGCATGAGCCTCGACGGGGATGGGGGGGCAGGGGGAGCAGCCACTGAGTGTGGCTCTGTTTTCTGGCCCCAGGGCTGCTGTACCTGTGCATGAAGCACATCTCGGACCGCTATAACATGTACTACTCCTACGTGCCCACCAAGCTCAATGAGCAGATCCACATGGCCGCCGTCAACCAGGCCATATTCGCGCCGCTGCTGGGTCTGTTCTGGATGCTCTTCTTCTCCTTCCTACGATTAGGTCAGTACCAGGCCTACCCAGCTCCTCCACCTCCGCCTGCCCCGCTCCCCTCCCCACAGCCCGGCCAGAACTGAGAAGATGAGAGGAGCAGGCTCTGCTCGTTGAGCATGGCCATGCCCAGTAGCTTCTCGAGGCTTCGGAGCTTTTAGCAGAGGCTTTAAGATATGGGGAGGGCGTGGACCTCTGCCATCCCAGTTCTTTGGGTTTTGGTGCACCGCCCTCAGGGAAGAAACTTCCTCTTCCTTCATTCTAACGCAGGGCTGGCAGAAAATAAGATAGAAGTTCTCAGGCTCCATTCCCATGACATTCCCTCTGGGACCCTATACGAAGGCTGGTCTTACGAGTTGCCAAAAACCCGGAGGAGGATTCCGATTCTGCCCCGGCAGCCAGCTTTTGCCTCCTTTTGGCTCCACGCAGCCGCTGTCCCTGTTCCCACGGGCCAGAGGCTGGAAACCCGCTCTATGGCAAGAAGGTCACACTGACCTCCTCCCCTCCTTCCTCCTCGTGCCCCATACTTACAGTCCATGACCCTCAGGGACACTTGCCCTTTACTGTCTCAGCGGCATGGAGAAGGGAGAATCACAAACGTGGGCTCTTCCTCCCCCGTCACCATGGCATCTGTAAACACGCAGCTCTCCGTCGGTCGCCGTGTGCATTACCCGTTTGTCGTCACCCCCAGTTTCATACCCCTTTCCTCCCAGCCTTCCCCTGCCCCCTCGCAGATTGCGCCTTTATAATGCCTTTTTCTAAGTAGGAAGGACTGTGTATGATCAAAATCTGAAAGGTCATCATTCGAATCCTCTGGAGCCTGAGGGCAGCCATTCCCAGGCCTCATTCTGTGCACATGTGTGTGTTTGTTTTTCAGCGGGGGGAGGAGGAGAGAGGGGGGCAAAGTGGGAGGGAGCTAATAGATTTATTGCTGCTTTTTGAAAATTTTGAAATTCACTTTATCACATTCAGTCCTGTATCCCCAGTGTCTTCACTGAACATTATGTTCTGTGCAACCTCCTGTGTTATTAAAATACTGTTTGAGCCGAAACCGGTTTGGCTCAGTGACTGGAGCGTCAGCCTGTGGACTGAGGGGTCGCGGGTTCGATTCCGGTCAGAGGCATGTACCTTGGTTGCGGGCACATCCCCAGTGGGGGGTGTGCAAGAGGCAGCTGATCGATGATTCTCTCTCAACGATGTTTCTAACTCTCTATCCCTCTCTCTTCCTCTCTGTAAAAAATCAATAAAATATATATTTTTTTTAAAAGAAAAAGAAAAAAATACCTAAAAGTTAAAAAAAAAAAACCTGTTTGAGCTCATGCCTCTTAGTGGCTGAATTAAACCAGCAGTTTTTAGTCAGTTCTTCGTTGTTGGAGATCTGTGTTTTTTTACCATTTTTTTTTTTTGGTTGTTGTTGCTATTATAAAAACATAGGTATAAGCACTATGCAGTAGTGATGTAAAGACAGATTTTTAATATTTACCTAGTTAACTGCTACCCTAAAAACGTTACCCAATAGCACCAAGCGAAACATAAATGACTTTTACTTATTTTATTTTTAATAAATAGTTCCCTTTTTAAAATTGATTTTAAAGAGAGAGAGGGAGGGAGAAGGAAAGAGAGAGAGGAACATTGATGTGAGAAACATGGATCGGTTGCCTCCCACACGTGCCCCTGCTGGGGCTCAAACCTGCAACCTTTTGGTGCATGGGACGACGCTCCCACCAACTGAGCCACACCGGCCAGGGCAGCATAAACGGCTTCTGAGTTCTGGGTTGCTTTTCGGTGACATTAGCGCAGGTCACCGTGTGTGCACACTTGGGAAGGGCTCACCAGGAAAGGGGTGGGTCATGGACTGTAAGTGGGGGCAGTGGCACAGACGAGTAACTTCCAGGTACGTCCCAGGGACTGTGATAGAGGAGGTGACCGGCAAGTGGAGAAGGACATGTACAATGGGCACAGCTCCACTCCTCCAGCACCCACCCCTCTCCCTCTCCCCGGCAGGTTCACTGCACAGCATCACCATCTTCTCCCTCTCCTGCCTTGTCGTTGCCATGGTAATTGCCTTCCTGGGCACTCTGATAGGGAGGCTGCCGAAGACACAGGAAGAGGTGAGTTGCCAGCCTGCCTTTCCTCCACTGGTTCTCTCAGCCCCTGGGGGACAGAGCCCTAGCACACCCTCCTGACCTGGGCCCCCACAGCACCGCATAGATGAAAGGCTCTTGCCTTTCTCTCTGATCATGGGGTGCACAAACTCTGTGTGTGTGTGTGTGTGTGTGTGTGTGTGTGTGTGTGTGTGTCTGTCTGTCTTGCACTGACCCAGGCACTGCTCCCCTCACAGGGTGGGATATTTAGACGACAGTTGTCTCTCCTCTTCTCCCCTCTGACACCTCCTTCCCTCTGGTCCATCCCTCCTACAGTGAAAGCTGCTCAACACTGAGCTGGCAGCATCATTCCAGGGCACGGAAAGTTAAAAGAGGAGGGAGGAAAGCAGAAGGGCAGGGGTAGTAAAGGACAGTGGCCTGGGGGCGGGGGGCGGGGTAGTCATCACTTTTAGGAGTTCTAGCATATCGACCTTGAGGGTGTCTGGAGGGGGTGCCTGGCTCTCTGGGCCCCGTGACTCCTTCCGCCCTCTGCCAGTGGGGCCAGACTAGTCAGTAGAGAAGGAAGCCAACCCCTGCCCGCCGAGGGCCCTGCCAGTGGCGCTGTGTGCTTGCACAGTTTTTCCCAAAGGAAGGCATCTGTATGCCTTCCTTTGGACCCTGACATGTATTTTTGTGGTGACACGTTTATTTTTCTGTGGGTTCCTATTTATTTCTTCTTCTGCTTATAGCAACTGACACAGGTTTTCTGTTTATACTAGTGAAGTGTTTCCTTTTAAAATGCACTTATGTAAGGAAATGAAGTAAGTTGATCTGAAGCACTAGCATCGGCGGAGTCAGAGGAGGGAGCCTCCTGGAAGAGGAGCCTCTTGCTTCTAGTGGATCTGCCGTATCTGGGACCCTGGGCACAGGCCCTCACTGCCCTCCCTCCCTGGCTCCCTCCCCCCTTCCCTCCCCCCTCCCCTGGCACTGGGGTGCCAGGCTAATGAATGACGCCTCTGGCTCTGTCTTCCCAATACAACGATGCCACATGATCATGTTGTCTGAGTGGTCCCTCTGGAGAAGGAAGGTGGCAGGGGACGGAGATTATGGTGGGTTAGGATGTGTTCCAGATAGAGGAGGACATTCGGGGGGGGGGGGGGAGGAAGAGGTTGAAATAAAGGCATTTCCTAGACTTAAAGCAGGATCATCTTTGAGCCCCAACCCCAAATCTACTTTCTTCCCCCGCTGTGGCCCTTGGGAAGGGTGCATGCTGGAGGGTCACCCTAGCATGCCAGTCGCCTCTCTGTCTCCCTGGCTTCAGCTGGGCTGTAGGTCTGAGAACACAGATGAGTTGAGTTCAAAAGGAGCAATAGGCCCAGGTGCAGGGTCAGGCTCCTCTGGATGTGGGGAGGGAGAGGGCAAAGGGCAGGTACCCCCGTTCTGTGACCCTCCACATTTCTGCCCACTGCTGCAGCGGGAAGAGGAGACGGAGACCGTGTTTGACAAGGAGCCAAGCAGCACCCCCTCCACGCCCACCTCCCTTGTGAGTCCATGCCTTCTCCCTGGGGGACAGGTCAGACGGGGATGCCTTGAGGGGGGCTACTCCAGTGGCACTGCGGGGGCACCAGCATTCAGTGCCCGCCCCGGGGATTGGGGAGGAGACGGGCCCCCCTCCCTGGGCTCCCTCCTCTGATGCAGCAGGACTTGGCCCAGGTCCAATTGCTGCCGTGGCCCTGGCTGAAGAGCAGGGAAGATAGAAGATCCATGTTTAAATCAACAGTCCCTATAATGGAGTCAGAGCTGAAGAGTGAGGTCAGGGTGAAAGCGGCCAGAGGAAGAAGGCGGCCAGGAAGAAGGCACTTAGGAAGAGAGCGGTCAAAAAGGAGGAGCTCAGGAGGAAAGCTGTCAGGAAGAGCGAGCTCAAGAAGGAGCTCGGGAAGAAAGAGCTCAGTCGTGTAGACGCAGGGACATGCTGGGGCTCGGCCTCAGGACCGAAGGCTGCCTCCAAGGGCACAGGTGCGCAGACAGAGCTACAGGGAGCTATGGCAGGTCTGGACGGAATGGTGAGGCCGGGGCGGCGCCAGCAGAGCGGGCCCATCGGCATGTGAAGAGACGAGGCTGGACTCAGAGTGCAGGGGTCCAGCAGGCTAAGCGTTGGCTCCCACACGGTATTGCTCAGCCTAGAGGGGCATAAGCACTCACCCACCTTCCCGGCCACAAGTATGGATGCAGGGCCACCAGGCACCGTGAAGGAACACTGAAGAGGGCACTCAGGGGAGGTTTTCCCGGAGGAGGAGGGGACATCTAATCCAACTCCCGGGATGGGAGTCAGGGCTACCACGTGGAATAGAGGGTGGGGGAAGAGCATTTGAGGAAGAGGATCAGCCTGTGCAAAGGCCTGGAAGAGACGATCGGGAACCTGTGAGGAGCGGTGAGCAGCCTGGTGGAAGTTCAGAGTGGGCAGCAGGGCCCGGGGGAGAGCAGGCTCCTTAGTCATGGCAGAGCAGGTGGGCGTGCAGACACTCCGTGCTGAACGTGCAGACACCCCGGTGAGCAGAACGCTGCCATTCTCGCTCTCGGAGGATCTTTATGATAAGCCCACCCAGGAAGGGTTTTTTTACCTCATTTTATAGATGGGAAAACTGAGGCTAAAAAAGGCCAATTCATGTAGACCCCAGGGTGCCACGAGGTAGGGGACATGCAGAGTCAAGATTGAGCCAGGTCTGACTCGAAAGCATGAGCTTAAAAATAAAAATTACTGGAATAGATTTTTCTAATCTTTGGTCATTGCAACAGTGGTATATGACTATGTAAATATTTGGGGGAAAACAGCTAAGCAAAAAATAAGGAAACAAAAATCCCATATTTTCACCACCCAGCGATGAGCAATGATACCTAAGTTATAGTCTTCCATATACAAAATTTTTGCTAAAGTGAAATAATACTGTATATTGACCTATAACTCACACTTTCTTATATAATCTCCATCTTTCCATATAAAATGTTACCTCTTCAAATAGTCCATATTCAAATTGTCCTCCGTGGCCCAAAAATACCTTTTACAGCTTATCCAAAAGAATCCATTCTCTGTGCCCCATGAATCCGGCCCTTAGGCATGTCCCTTTAATTCTGGAGCCTTGTCTTTCTAATGTTTGTTGGAAAAACCAAGCCAGTAGTCCTGCAGAACGTTCCACCTTCTGGACTCTTCTGTTTCTTCACAACGTCTTACAGCAAATCCCACTCCCTCCTTACCTCCTAAAAACTAGAAGCTAGTTCCAAAGGCTTGATAGATTCAAATTCGATACTAGGCGCGAGACCACATTGCTATTGCCTCACACCAGGAGATACGTAATGTCCCTTTTACTCCCATCAGTGGTGCTGGCATGACTCCCTGATTAGGGATGACACCTGGCTTCTTCTATTGTTCGGTTACAATCCCCCCACTTACCAACAAAAGGGGGGGTTACTTTGGCAGGAAGCAAATGTTTAGACTGTTCCGTAGGGAAATTGCTCCCTCACCAGCGAGGGCTGCTTGGTTTCACGGAAATGAATTCCTACAGGAAAGGTTTCATTCTGTCCCACAGTGACCTATTTTTTAAAATAAGGAGTTGGTTTGAAAGCTGTTCCCAGCTCTATCCCTAGTACTTCCTGTGTGTCTTCCTGGGTTTGACAGGTCATATGACCACCAAGACCTCAGCTAGCAGTCTCAGTTTCAAATCCTGATTCCCTGCCAGCCAATGACCCAGCCTGAGAGACTTGTGAATGTGCCTTTGAAATTGTATTAGAAAGTGTACTAGCTAAGGAAAGGGGGGAAGGTCTCCCCAGAGCACAGCATAGGCCAGCCTACTGGTATCTCGCCCCGGGTTCAGCCTGATCTGGCACCCAGAATGAATGGCACAGGTGCCTGAGGGACAGTGCACTGACTGGCCCTGGGAGCTTGTAGGTGCCCATGAAGTGACCAAGAGCCACTGGGCAGGGGGATGGCCAGGACGTGGGCAGCTGGTGAAGAAGGACCGTGGCTCGAGGGACCAGAGGCTCTGGGGGTAGGACATAAGGGAGAGGGTATGTCCGGGGGGCCTTGCCCCAAATGTGATCTCACCCCGATCTCCCTCTCTGTCCCGAGCAGCTATATGTGGCCACTGTGCTGCAAGACCCGGAGATGAACCTGACCCCAGCCTCTTCGCCCGCCCAGCACACCTATGGCACCATGAACAGAACGCCAGAAGAGGAAGAAGAGGAGAGCGGTATGATGGGCTTTGGACAGGAGCTGGACTCGGCCCAGTTCCAGGAGGGCCTGGAATTGGAGGACCCGAGCCAGTACCACTGACCAGGACCCGAGGCCTCCCCCTGGCGGCTCCAGCTGGGAGTGGCCGCCAGGGGTGGGCCAGGCAGGGGGAGGCAGAGGGCAGCCTGGACTTCCCCACGACTTCCTGCAGACTTCGAAAAGGCCTGAGGAAGAAGTCTGCCCATCTGGCCATTTTCCACGTGGAGGCCCCGGCCTGCTGACCAGCGAGAATGGGAGGTGCCGGGCAGTGCACAGGGACCCCAGGATTGGGTAGAGGATACAGGCAAACCTTGGGAGTGTGGCTGAAGCCCTGGACCAGAGCCTGAAGGCTCAGGACTTCCCTGGGGTCAAGATGGAGAAACGTGTGCAGAAAGAAAGAGGCAGAAAGAAGCCCACTGACGACCCCCGGGGGTCCTCGCTGCCCTGCCAAGGAGCTTCTGCCGCTGCTCCCACCCCTCCCCCCTGTCCCACTCCCGGCCCCTCCCTTCCTCTGAGGAGGCCAAGGTACGTGTGCTGGGCCTCATCGGCAAGACAGAGACCACCTCACCCCGGCTTCCCGGAATGGGGTTCTGCAGAGAGAACGTTTCTCCTCCACCGGGCAAGGGGCAGCTGAGAGACCCAAGACTAGAGAGAAGGAGCCTGAGGCCCTCCTGTTCCTCTGCCCCCGACAGAAGTCCCCGGGGTGCAGGGAGAGACCCTCTCCTTTCTATTCCTGTAAGGGTAGCTGGGGCACGCTCACTCAGGACTCATTAAACGGGGCCTGTGTGCATTTTGATAAAGGCAAGCCTTGGCAGTCACTGTGAGGGGGGAGGGCCAGAGGCAGCATTCCCGGAGTGGGGAGTCTTCTCCCAAAACGTCTGCCGATGGGAAACCCCGTACACCTCCCCAAGCCCCAGGTCCTAATCAGGGGACCCAGGAGGCCAAGGAGGTGGCCGCTGAGAACTGCCCCTGCCTCGTGCCCACCTCAGTGCCTGGGCCCCGTGTGGCCAAGGTGGGCAGCAGCTTAGGGTAAGGAGCCCATGCTTCAAACCGAAGGCACTGGCCACTCCCTGCCCTCCAGGTAGGGCCTTGCCTCTATTCTTGGACTGAAGGCCCCTCAGGTGGTCTCCAGGGTGGTCCCGGCTACGACACTGCCGATGTCCAGCAAGGAGTGGGATGGGGTGGGGTGGGGCCGTGACCTTCACAGAGAAGCCCCTCCTGGCAGAGTAAGGCTGCCTCCCAGAGCTGCCAGCTCCTGAGGCCTGGAGCCAAATCCTGAGCAGAACCAGTGCTGGGGACACCCAGGACCTTTGCCCCGGGCAGGGGGTGCAAGCCTCTGCCTCTGGGGACCGGTCCCCATCAGGACTCCCAGGAGCCCAGCAGATGCACACACAGGGAAGGGCCAGCTGGGCCCCGGTGGACCAGGACAAGCCAACTCAAATGGGGTCTGCATGCTCTAGAGCCACTTCCTCCAAAGGCCAGGGTCCCTGCAGCCCCCCTGTTGAGGTGGGCCCAGTCCCCTCGCTGGGCCCAGGCTCATGGCTGACCCTCCACGTGGTCCTTGCCTACATCCCAGCTCCAGAAGTTTCAAGCTTCGCCCCAGAGATTCTCCTTGGCCTGGACTTGGGCTTGAGGGGTCTTCCCAGAGAGCTTGAGTCTGCTAGGGCGGAGGGAGGCTCCCCCGCTCCTACTCCAGCTGGAAAAGGAGGGAACTGTACCTAGTCAGTCCCTCATAACCCAAGCCCCTTCCCCCAAGCATCCCACCAACCACCAGGCATAGGTCCTTTCCAGGCCTCAGCAGAGAGCTCCACGCACTGCCCACCCCCCAGCGTGTGTACTTGGTGGTGGTGTGTTTTGTTTTTTGTGTGTGTGTTTTTTTTTTTTGGGGGGGGGGAGGGTGTCTGACAAGAGCTGGCCTCGGACTCGCTTTCCCTGGGCACCTCCCTCTCCTCTCTCCTCTCCTGCCCACCTACCAGCCCGTGGAAGCTGCATGTGCAAAGGGTCACAGACAGGGCAGTATGTCCCGGGGCCTCCCCCTCTGAACTGGAGTCAAGTGCAGACTGGTTCTGAGAGAAGGCGGTGAGAATGTTAGGAAAGTGCCAGAGTCCTCCCTTGGCTAGCCTTTCCGGAGACCCAGGGCACCTGGCAAGGTCCCACCACAGCTGCTCGACCTCCCCCCATCACTGGGTGGGGTGTGGGTGTGCTTTGGCTCCTGACCCCCGCCCCCCACAATCAGGCACCTCCCCGCTCAGCTTGCTCTCAGCCCACTCCTGCCTCACGCATCGGCCTCCACCTACCCTACTGGCCCGCTTCCCAGCTGTCTGGCCACCGAAGCGGCCCTCTCAGACCTGACCGTTCTGCGGGGAGCTGCCTCTGGGGTGGGGGACGCGGGATAGAGCCTTCCAGAAGTGCCCCGCTCAGCCTAAAGCAGCTCCTCGCCTGCCGGCCCCTTCCTCGGACGCCTCTGGAAGCCAAGTGCCTATCAGCAGCATTGCCGCCTCTGGGGACCCACGTGCAGGGTATGGACTTCCTTTGGCCACCACCACTCAAGGAATGTGCCAGAATGCCGAACCTTCTTGTTATTAATGCTATGACTGTGCCTTGAATAAACAGCCCTCCCGACCTCTGCTGCCTGTGTCTCTGCCTCGGGCCCCACCCAGCAGCTTCCCTCCCCCTGGGATGGATGAGCTTACGGGGAAGGAGCACCACACCTTCATGGCTCTGGCCCCTCTCAGACCTGACTGTTCTGGGGGGAGCTGCCTCTGGGGTGGGGGGCTTGGGATAGAGCCTTTAAGGTGTGCCCAGCTCTGCCTCGAGCAGCTCCTCGTCTGCCGGCCCCTTCCTCCCCCGAGGCCTTTGGTGGCCCCCATCCTCCCAGGCATAGCCTGACAAGTGCACCTGGTCTGCTGGAAAGACGGGAAGTGCATCTGCCCATTCTTCCTGCTGGGTCCCCTGAGAGCGCCCTGAGCAATAAAGCACTCTGCTCTGCGACCTCCCCAGGCAGCCCTCGGGCAGCCTCCCTGGGCAGCGGGAGCCCCGGGTGAGTGCTGGGCCCTGAGAGGCTGTTGGCCAGATGAGAAGCCGGATGTGACACGATGGAGATTTCAGGGGGAGGCTCCCAGAAAGCGAGGCAGGCAGGGCTCGGGTCTGCACCCCGGGGCAGGAGGAGGAAGAGGAGAGGTAGGGTGTGAGGAGGTGTGTGGGCTGGCTGGTCAGGCCTGAACGGGCTAAGAAAGGCCCTCTAGCCAGTGCTAGTGCTGTCTGCTGTTGTGCCATGGAAAAGAGGAGAGAAGTGCCCTGCCCTCGGCCGTGTGTTCTGGCCGAGGACACCAGGGTTCTGGCCTTCCTCTGGCCGCTTGATGACCCTGGGATGGTCATCTCATCCAGGAAGGAGGAGCAGGAGGGAGGAGGCTGGCTGCTCTGCCTCATGACTGAACACAGCAGGTCCAGCTGGGGACAGAGGACAACCTCTGGGCAGCTGCACAGGGCTGTTCCCCAGCCCTCCCTGAGCCCTCTCCTGCATTTGTCAGAGTCCACCAGTGGGCCTGGGCTCAGAGCTCCTCATGGCATGGCCCCATGCCCTTGACCTTCTCCCCTCAGAGCAATCTTTTCCAAGTCAACCAGATGAAACGCGTGAGGGCTGCCTCAGGGGATGGAGAAGTATGATGGCCACCTGGCTGCCTGGGAATGGGATGGGGCTGGCGGCTGCTGTGGAAACAACGGCCTTGGGATCTGTGAACCCCCCACCCCAACAGCTGTCTCTCAGGGTCTCCTTCCAGGGGCCGGCAGGCTCAGGGTCCTCCCTGCCGCTCCGGGCCGTTCCTTGGTCCAGCAGACCTCTCAGGGGACTGACTGCTCAGGCAGAGGCAGATGTAGAAAGACAGAGAAGCTTGAGAGGGAGACTATGGTCTCTCATGCACTAAGTACCGAAGGGAGAGTGGGGTCAGTCATCAGTCAGTCTCCTCTGTCCTCAGCAGGCCGTGGAGACTGGAGGCCTGGAAGGTGGGCTGGGCAGGGGATGGGACTCTGGGACAGGTCAAGAGGGAGGCCCAAGACACCGGGTTGATGGCTTCTGCCTAAGAGGGCCCTGACGCAGGAGAGCCTGGGCTCCCGGAGGCCCTCCAGGGCCAGCACTCTCCCAAAGCCACGGACGGGGCGGGGCGCGGCGGCGGCGGGGAGACTCAGGTTCGTCCTAAGGACCTCCATGCAGGCCCATCTCCAGGTGTCTCAGCCCGCTCCGTGCAGGGTTGGGGGAGCCTGTTTGTGGGAGGGCAGTTCACAGGTTTTCTCGGCAGAGGATGTTTCCTGGACACTTGACTACCCACAGCCTGACAGCCAGCCTGGCCTCTCTCAAGCCGCCAGAGCTGGCTTCTCCGTCCGGGCTGCAGATGAGCCTCTGGGAGATTTCAACAGCCCCGGCTCCGGGACAAACTGAACTTTCTGAGGCGGGGGCTGGGCACACCTCATGTACAAAAGCCCCCCAGGTGACGCCTTTGCCAGGAGAATTAAGTCCCTGGGATGGGGGAAGCTGGTCTCAGCCCCTCACACTGTCTCACCTGGGGAGGGAGTGGCCCTGCAGCCTGGAAATAGTTACAGCCCTCAGGCCAGGAAACCTGCACTCTGCCTCCAGGGAGTACCTAGTGGGTAATCAAAGGTTAGGCCCAAACATTTGCTCTCCGCCTCATGAGGGATTATCCAGCACAGGCACAACTCCTGCTGTAATTTTACTTTGCAGCAAACACACCAGACCTTGGGGTCACTTCTGGCTACCTCATCAAGGGTTTCAAGAACCTCCTCTACCCTCCCCTCCAAACACAGAGCTCAAAGTGGCCGAACCGAACTGAACCTTCCCTCTTCAAATGCAACTGATTATCAGCACGATAACTTTATATAGCGGAGCCCTAGCCAGTTTGGCTCATTGGAGAGAGTGCTGGCCTGTGGACTCAAGGATCCCAAGTCCGATTCCGGTTAAGGGCATGTACATCGGTTGCAGGCTCCTCCCTGGGCTGGGCCCTGGTCGGGGTGCCAGCAGGAGGCGACCAATCTATGTGTTTCTCTCACAT